TCCGAGGAGGGAGGGGAGCGGTGGGTGTGTCAGTGCGAGGATGGGTCTGGGCGGGTCCTTGGGGCACAAGCGCGGGGGTTGTGTAGTTGCCCTTTGTCTGAGTGTTTCTGGCCACCCTGCCCCACAAGTGGCTGCAGCAGCTCCCGCCAATGTTGTACCCAGCTCCCCACAATTGGCTTGGAGCATCCCACCATTGGCATCGCCAACGGCTGCTGAATGCCATGCTCGAGAGTGTAATAGGAGAGTGTAAGAAAATGACATGAGGTCACGCTGGGGGGAGAGGGGTATGGAGGGGGTGGAAATCTCTCGGAATTGCTTCAGTCAGAGTTGGCAACCTTATGTGTAAGGGAGGCAAGCAGGACCCAGCAGGCAGAGCACTGGACTGGAACTAAGGTGACTTGGATTCTGATCATAGTGTGATCTTGGGAACCTCACATCTGTGCTCTATATGCCTCAGTTTCCTGACTGGTAAAATGGGATAATTATGTTCTCCTTTGTAAAGTGCTTTGAGACTTATGCACAAAAAAGGCTATGTAAGAGTTAACTATTGTTAACGAAAGTGTGAATGCACATAGCGTGTAAGCTTGACACCATGTGTTATTGATTGCATTAACATAGCGTGGTACCCAGATTTGTAATATCTGTGCTTGGATTTCTCAGTGTAGATACCATCAAACTTAATTATAAGCATGTTACTGAACCATGATAAAGCCCTGGGCCAAGCTTTTCCAAAGCATCTCTTTAAAATGGGGCCCCTGAATTGTTGTTCAGGTGTCTAAATCAGCAGCTGAATTTTTCAGAGGTGCTGAGTCCCCTGCATCTCCCATTGATTTTGTTAGGAGCTGCTTTGATGAGTGGTAGTGGTTGTTTTTTTTTTTTTTTTGAGGGTGGGGCCACAGTTGTTAGTGAGGAAGGACATAAGAAAACTAAATAGATGGGAACTGAAATACAAACAACAGTGCAGGTGCTTCACCACTGACACAAACTATCCAGAGCAGTGGTAGATTCTCCATCTCTTGATGTCTTCAACTGAGGATGTCTTTCTGGGAGATTTGCATTAATGAAACACATTTTAGACTCAGTGCCTGGCTGAAATTGAATGGCCTGTGATACACCAAAGGTCAGACTTTGTGGTCTATGATCTTCTATCCTTAAAAATCTCCCAATACAGGCAGTCCCCGGGTTACATGGATCCGACTTACATCGGATCCCTACTTTGCATCGGATCCCTACTTACAAACGGGGTGAGGCAACCCCGCACTAGCTGCTTCCCCCCAGCAGACCAGGGAGATGCGAAGCTAGCGCCCCCCCCCTCCCCCAGCAGACCAGGGAGACGTGGAGCGGCTTTTCTCAGCAGACACCTCAGCTTGAGAATAAAGGACTGAGGGAAGTGAGGTGTGGAAGAATAAAACTGAGCTCTGGATTAATTTTTGGCTAGAGTTTCCCCTACAATATTATGTACCAGTTCCGACTTACATACAAATTCAACTTAAGAACAAACCTACAGTCCCTATCTTGTACGTAACCCGGGGACTGCCTGTATATAGAATTGGGCTGCTCATTTAGATGTCTAAATATGGATTTAGGTCTAACTTTAAGGCTTCATTTTTTAAGATTTTAGTATAAGTCTTTACAGTCTCTTGTCCCCTTTGATTTCTATTACACTTTATTGTGTAACAGTTAACATTGCTTAAGAACTGAGGCTAGCAATGGTATATTTTGTTAATAGCATGAAGTAGTGTTGTTATTTTTGTTGGTTTAGCACGGACAGTGTACACTGACTGATCAAGGTAAAGAAAGATTCTGCCCCATTACAATCAAATCATGTTTTCAGTTTAAATGTGAAAGTGATTCCTGTGTCTCCTAAATTGCTCATTCTATATAAAAACACAGGCAAATGGATTATTGTTGTTGGCCCCTAATGGTGTAGAACTCTGGAATTTGTGGTCAGAGTAGAGTTCATTGGAACTAACACATAATAAGGATGTTAAGAAGCAGGTAACTGACTAAACATGTACTCAGCACAATTTGTATCAAGTACATGATAAGTCCATTAGCTGCAGCACAGGCAGCCCACCCAGCTCCTACTACATTTAAACGCAGAACTGCAGCAGGGGTAGGTCTGGGATCTGCACAAGCCAGGATTCGGCAGTTCCAGCTTGCACTAGGTCTCCTGCTGTGGCTCTGCCTCCTCTGCCATCACTCATCGCAGAGACGGTGCTGGGGGAACTGTTTTTGTTAAGCTTCTGCTCTAATAAGTAGTAAGGGGGGGGGAGCGAGTAGTCAAATAGTGACTATGCGATAAGCCTAATCTTATCGGGTAGTCAACTACTTGAGAAGTCGCTTATATCCCTAAAAAGTAACCAATTATTTTCTTTACACACAGGACCTGTTTGCACTGGGCATGCAAACGGAACCATGCTGAAGTGGTCTCTTGCCTGATTGATGCTGGTGCTGATAAGGAGATTCTCACAACTAAAGGAGAACTGGCAGCCCAATTAACATCAAAGAAAGACATTCGGAAGATTATGGGAGGTACAACTTACATATTTTAATATTTTTTCTTAAATAGTTGGTCTTAGCCCTTGTCTATACTTACCTGGAAATTGATGCTCCAGAGAGCGATCTTTAGGGATTCAATGTAGTGGGCCCAATGAGGATCCACTAAATCAGCAGTTCCCAATCTTTTCCAGATGGGGACCCCATCAACCCCAGTACTCCATAGGGTCACGAGAAGTAAGGGAGCCTCCCACAACGGGGATATTGCATAAATTTGACTTTATCAACTCCAGATACACTAATTTCATAGCTGGAGTTGCATATCTTAAGTCGATTTTCTCCGTAAGTATAGACCTGGCTTTAATATATAGTGGTTTTTCTAGTTCAGTAGACTTGACAGCATTACTGTTATAAAGACAGGGTCTGGTCCTCACATCACAATAGTAATGCTTACTCATACAAATATTTCCATTGATTTCAGTGCACAATTTGTGCAAGGAAGGCTGCAGGTTTTTCTATGATTTATATCTTTTCTATTACCATGTTTTACACCAAGATGAAACTTGTGTTAGATGTCATCCTGGCAATGAATTTTGTGAGTAGACTTTTTAACTTTCAAAAAAGTGTTGCTCTTCCTTTTCACTTACTCATTTCTAAATTGTTTTAAGGTGCAGTATGCCTTTTTATAACTGGCATTCCCTTATCTATGTATGAGTTTAAAAGATTAAAACCCAATGTAGGTAAATATTATTGTCTTTTGATTTCCCATGTTCACATACCTAGTGCCTTGCAGATATTTGTAAATGCATTCTAATATGTAAGATATTGTTGGAATTGGGACTCCTAAATTCTTCTACTGGTTCTGATACTGATTCATTCTGGGCAAGTTACTTAGGCCTCCGTTATGCTCCCATGGAAATCAGAATTACTATAGGTGCAAAAATGTATTGTCAAGCTAAGTCTGACTAGGAAAGACCAGGTTGCTATGGATTTTGCCATTAAGAGGACACAGAGAGTAAGAGGGTGTATGCTATTTTATTTGCATGAGACATTCAAGTTTAAAGGTGATTTGCTGATACATATTTCCTCATATGATCTTTAAATTTGTTTAGTGTGGTTATTATTTTACTAGTTTATAACCCTATTTTACTTTTTTAATATACTATAAAACTGATGGTTGCCAACTGCAGCTCAAAAACTCAACTCTTAGTAAGAAAGTGCTTTCTTAAGCCTTGTCTAAATGGAGAAATTTACGCAGAAATTATTCCACTTTAGCTTGCATCACTTTCACTAAACTGGAAAAAGGTATTCTACACTAAAAGCATGTGCACACAAGGAGTTATACTGGTATAACTATATCAGTAAATTTCCCTGTGTAGATAAGCCTTTGAGTCCTCTTTTAGCTACAGAACTCAGAATTAAGTGGTCTCACTGATTTAAAAGGAGCTGAATCAAGCCTAAAGCCAAAGGCTTTTATATGCATAAATAGACCTGGTCAAGCTGAACCAAAAGTCGTAAACCCACTGTATAGAGAAACAACTGCTACATTGTAAAAGTGGTGGCCTCTCAGACTTTCATAGCTGTGTTATGACTTCCTGGCAGTAAATCTCTATAAACACAACACATTGGTACATGTAAAAAGCTTATGCCACACACATGCCAAGAAGCAAGCCAAAATTGAGATGGAAGACAGTCTTAGAAATGGTGTAGATGTGTCTGAGTCCAGTGTTTCTGCACCATAGAAATTTGACCTTTTGTAATGTTCGGTGAACATGCTAATGATATTTGTATGAGAAAGGGGCCTGGAATTCAGGCTGATAACTTATGCACTCTTTGGATAGTCAAATAGCTGAATGACTCCTGTAGAAATGCTTGTGCAGTGAAGTACAGGCTCTATTTTCACAGTCGTGTGTGATTGGTATAAGCTTTGAAAACTGTTTTTTTTCCTTCTTCTGGGCAAAAACCTTAATTTGTTACATGCAGAGGACAATATGACTTGGGTTCTGACTTTTGGAAGTTTAGTCTGACACGTCTAAGGTAAATGATTTCCCACATAATTCCTGCCCAGTATGTTTGTCTGGTCATTAAACATTCATGCCCAGATTTTTAAAAGAATGTAGGTGTCTAGCTTCTATTGATCTCAAAGGGAGTTAGGAACCTATCAAACCTGGGCCTCATTTACCAGATATGGGATGTCTTATTTTAACCTTCTTAAACAAATTTAGTTGCGCATCTCCAGGGAAACAGTACATCTTATTTGGGCTGCCTTGGCATTGTTACTGTTAATTAGGGATGTGCACGTGTAACTGTGTAATGGTTAACTAATAAGCCTGGGTTTATTGGTTAACGTGCACGGTTATACAGAGGCCGCTCCTTGGGACCCGGCTGCCACCCAGTGCTGCTGCCTGTCTATCAAGAGGCAGCAGCATAGGGGCAGTAGCCAGGGCCCCAGGAGCAAGGCTGCAGGGAGGAGCCAGGTTAACAGCACAGGGTGGCAGCCGGCGCACACTAGAAGCTAGCCAGCTGTGGGTGTGTGTAACTGCTGAGTTTTTCAGTGGTTAGATGGGTACACAATCACCTGCATTTTAACCTCCCTACTGTTAATGGGCCTACTCCTGCAGTTCTTATTCAAGCCAAATTCCCATTTGTTTCAATAAATGAATGTGAGGACAGTAGGATTGGGTCCTACATTGAACACCTGCTGAGAAAAACATTCCACTTTCTTTGTTGGCATCCATGAGAATCAATTATTTTAAACGTCTCTCTAAAAAAATATGTCTAATCTAAGATTTAACCAAGAAACTACTTCTCAATCTGATTCTTTCAGAGATGGTGAACTGGCATTGCTGAATTTTAAGGCATCATTTGTATCTGCTGTTGATGGTTTAATTATTTTTCTTTGGCTTTGTTTTCTGGCTTCCAGCTCAGAGTTTATACAAAAAAATCCTTTCCCACTTGATTTTTATTAATTCAAGTCACTCCCAGCATTTTGCCATATTTCCAAGTGGATAAGCTCAAGCTATATTGGTGCAATTCTTGTGATTTCTGCAAGATATGATTTTGTGAGAGAGTAGAAAAACCTCTAACTTTATATTTTAATTGGGGAAGATGGTAATATTTAAGTAACAAGTTCTCTTCTTTCTTTTCCCCTGAAGTGGAAGAAAATGAATATAAAGAAGTGGAAGACTTTAACTTGCCAATTGTTGCAAACTATTTGGCCAATCCACCCTTCCCTTACATTTACACTAAAGAAAACAGCATTCCAGACAGCTCAGCAGTATCCCAGAATGAAAGCACTTCCATCTCTTTTGTTTCTCTGCATGAAACTAGTCCTTGTTCATCAGCAACTCGGGTTGAAAGCCTATGCACACCTACGTCATCATACAGCCAAGATGGTTTTCCTGCAGTGCATTCTAAGGAAGGCCAGCCCTCCACATCAGCAGCCATCATGGTGCCAGAAGATCCAAACCCTAGAGCCCAGAGTGGCTCCTTTTGTCAGCCATCTATGTCTCATAATAGAAGCCTCTTTTCTCCAGGAGCATCTAAACAGCCGGTACCTCAGCAACTCAGTGGCTCTCATATTGGGGCTGCACCAACATTTCAGCCACTCTTCTTCACTGGAACTTTTCCATATAATATGCAAGGTAACAACATGCATATTGTGCATCTTGCTGCCACACTGCTGATCCATGTTTAAAACACTAGTTGAAAGTTAAAGTGAGGATATATTTATTTCATGCTACTCTCAATCTGTTAAAAAGACTTGAACTTTTCAGTTTAGACAAGAGACTAATAGGGGTCTATAAAATCATGACTGGTGTGGAAAAAGTGAATAAGGAAAAGTTATTTCCTCCCTTCCATAACACAAGAACTAGGGGGTCACCAAATGAAATTAATAGACAGCAGGCTTAAAACAAACAAAAGGAAGTTTTTCTTCACTCAGTGCACAGTCAACCTCTGGAACTCCTTGGCAGAGGATGTGGTGAAGGCTAGGACTCAAAAAACAGGGTTCAAAAAAGAGCTAGATAGATTCATGGAGGTTAGGTCCATCAATGGCTATTAGTCAGGATGGGTAGGAATGGTGACCCTAGCCTCTGTTTATCTGGAAATGGGTGACAGGGGAGGGATCACATGAGGATTACCTGTTTTGTTCCCTCCCTCTGGGGCATCTGGTATTGGCCACTGTTGGCAGGCAGGATACTGGGCTAGATGGACCTTTGGTCTGACCAGTATGGCCATTCTTATGTCTCTTTTCAGCCTTCTCTTTGAGAAGAGGTAGAAATGTTGAGAGAGATGTCAATGAGATAGTTGGGTGGCAGAGAGTGATTTATTCCCTCGACTTAAAATATTCTTCACAGCCTACTAAACAGAATAATTGTTGTATTGTTTATACAGAGCTATACATGTGGTACAGACAATTGAATTGGCTGCTGGAGAGATTCCAAAGTAAACCCCAATTTAAAAATCACTAACCTGCCAAATATGACACAAGGTATAACTTTCTTGCAAACCAATATAAACTTGTAATTTAGGGCTGAGCTATAGTAAGGATGCAGTAGGATAACCATTGAAATGGTTAACCAGTAAGCCTGGGCTTATCAGTTACCGTTAATGGTTACATGTAGGCTCCCGGTAAGCCGGCTGCTATCCTGTGCTGCTGGGTCTGTATCAGAGCCTGCAGTGAGAGGCATCAGCCAGCTCCTTGGAAGCTGGGAGCAGGGTTGGAAGGCTGCTGCCCCACACTGCTGCCTGACACAGAGGCAGCAGTACAAAATAGAAGCTAACTTCCCAGGAGCAAGCCTGCAAGCAGGAGCTGGTGCACGCCAATCCCTAGGGACCCAGCTACTGCCCTGCAGGCTCTGCAGTATAAACTTTATACTGTAGAGCCCACAGTATGTAACTGCTGAGATTTTCAGTGGTTACACATGGTTACCCAATTACCCTCTTTTTAACATCCCTAATCTACAGAGTGTGTGATTGTGGAATTTCTAGAATAAGAGTTTAGTCAGAAAAATCTCTTTTAATTCCTATTTCAGCCATAAACTGAATTCTTAGAATCCCCAAAATAGAAATTGTAAACCAGCCATCCTGTCCTGTCTCCCACCACCATCTCTTTACAAGATCCCATTGCTCATTGTACACCCAAATATACCACAAACTTCTAAAGTTGCCATCTCAAAGAGCAAGTGCAAATTGGTTGAGAATTTCTGGTAGCTAAAAGGGCTCAGATAAAGGGATATACAGACTTTCTTCATTTTATTTTGGGTTAGACTCACCTTGAAGCTCTAATCCTGCAGACACTCCATGTTTGAAGACACCTAGATCTGTGCACTGTTATTGAAGTTCCATGCAGCCACACAGGTGTGAGAAACAGTCTGAGATTAGATCATATGAATATTTTTCTGGAATTTATCCTTCTGATTTAATTCTTAATGGGTTTTGCACTTTTGTCTGTCTGATGGACAGGTGTCCCAATTACAAAACTAGCACTGTTTGTCCCCCTTAAAGATCAAAGGCCGACTAGGCCACAGATTTACATCTGCTTCCTCACCTCCTGAGGTGGTCCCTCCAGTTTAGAGTTGAGGTGGGGCAGTGTTAGTATAAATGTTAGTATAATAAAATGTAAATTCTCTTAGTTTTTATCTATTATACTGATTGTTTTTCTTTGTAAGATAATATATCAGACCTCCTCCCACATATATATTTAATTTTTTTTTTACTAGAACTGGTGCTTAAGGTAAGAATTCAGAACTTTAGGGAAAATGACTTCATTGAGATTGAATTAGACAGACAAGAATTGACCTATCAGGATCTACTCAGAGTCAGTTGCTGTGAACTGGGTGTTAATCAAGAGCAAGTGGAGAAGATTAGAAAGTTACCAAATACATTGGTAAGAAAGGTAAGAGAACTTACATATTTAATTGCTAAATGGATTTTATTAATTTGATTCCTCTAATCTTGGACTCTGAAGTCCAAAGATCAGTTACAGATGTTCAAATCCAAAGATTGCACTGTGTTCAAGGACTACCACATAATTTTTGTAAATATTCAGGCTCAAAGAAATATTACACAGAAGGGAAATAATGCAGCTTTGTCATTATCTAATAATTTTTTATCAAAGTAGATGTATTATTTTTAAACTCCCAAAGCATATGAAATCCAAGTATTTGAAACGTAAGACTGAATTTAAGGGACCTCAAGAGGTCATCATGTCTAGTTTCCTGCCATCATGACAAGACCCAAATACTATCTAGATCAGTGTTTCTGAAAGTGTACTGCGGAAACACTTTCAGAAAACACTTAAACCGGAGCAGCCAGTTAATGTACCAGCGCCGTGGCCCAGCCCACACCGCTTCCCACGGCTCCCCTTGGCTGCAAAGGAAAAACAGAGCCAATGGGAACCATGAGGTGCTGGTACATAAACAAACTGGGGCGGCCAGTTAAAGTGTTTCTGAAAGTGTTTCTGCGGTAACTTTCAGAAACTCTGATCTAAACCAAGGGTCAGCAACCTTTTCAAACCAAAGACTCAAACTATATCAAAATTCAGAACAAGTGGTCAATGAAGAGCTGTATAAAAATGCCTATTTGCATGACTTAAAATATAACTATATATATACAAAATGTTTTCTGTGGGATGACAAAAGTGACACCACATCACTGCATCCCACAGGCTGAGGGGTATGCTCCCAACCCTACCCCTTGCGTCTGAGGCCCCATACCAAAGACTCAAACTATATCAAAATTCAGAACAAGTGGTCAATGAAGAGCTGTATAAAAATGCCTATTTGCATGACTTAAAATATAACTATATATATACAAAATGTTTTCTGTGGGATGACAAAAGTGACACCACATCACTGCATCCCACAGGCTGAGGGGTATGCTCCCAACCCTACCCCTTGCGTCTGAGGCCCCATCCCTGGAGC